CTCTGTATGGATACGAAACGTAGAAGGTGGTTGCGTCGAAAAAGAAAAGATTAGAAGCTTTCGGAATGCGATGTTACAGGCGAATGATGAGGATACCGTGGAAAGAGAAGATTAGACATAAAGAGTTACTAGAAAGAATAGGAGAACAGAGGACTTAGAAGCAGAAACGGAAGTTAGAAGGGGTAGAGGTAGACCTAGATTAGATTACTGTTCGCAAATAGTTAAGGATGTGGTTGTTCTAGTTTTGGGGAAATGCGAAGATTAGCTCAGGATAGTAAAGAGTGGAGGTGCTCGTACAACCAGTCTTAGGACTGACGACCTTATGATGATAATAATGAATAAACAACCATTTTAGCCTCTTATTCCAAGTGGTTCACTTTCATGGATCGCTACGATGAATAATTTTAATTGTACATGGAAGGAGTATTGAATAGAGTAGGTCATTTTTCTCCATGCTATATACGAATATTTGTTAATTTTTAACAGTGAAGAAACCTCTTCGATTAATTATTATTTAGCCCGATTAAAAATTTTATAAAAACTGTTACAGAATGTTCTGCAAATCGTAAACATATACACAACGCAATTTTTCTGTTTAATTATTAATGATATCCGCATCATTCTTTTCTACTTACTATTAGTTGTTATCATATAAACTAAAAACCAAAAAATTAAGGCTCACTATTAACTAATACAAAATTTTTGGGATCCTCAAAATAAAGAGAAACTATTGCTGTAAACACCAAAGTTAATTAATTAATCATAATTAATGAAATAGGTCATAAGTGTATTTATCACTGGGTCAAAGGTAGGTACCTATCTTTTAGTACATTTATTAAGTTCTTTCCTTTTCCTGTAGATATATATCTACGTATCTACAAATACATTCTTTTGATCTATAAAATGTCACCATAAATCTGCATGCGATTGGAAAACGTTTTCGAGCAGAAAGAAATAAGAATTTGAAAAGCATATTTTAAATTTGTTCTCCGTTTGCATTCGCGTAGTGGCCCTTTGAATTTTATTTTCGCATTACGAAATACGTATGTGTTGTATACGTATACAGGCAAGGCAAAAATTTCACCGAAACATAGAAGCTACACATTTTTTTGTTGGCATTTTTTCTCTATCTATATATCGCACGATCGACATACACAATTTCGTGAAGGTGTGGAATATATTTTTCAGTCACGATTATCTAATATCTATAATCTATTAAGACTGTATTGGGATGGATCGTTTGTCCTAATTTGTATTACTTATTGATTACTGTACTAAATTATTTGTTACTTCTGTTTCTCGTGAACAGAAATACATCAGTATGGTATAACTGTTACAATGGTCACCTTGCAGACCTTTAGTGTACTAATTTTCCTAGATACCTATGTAAATCTATGTTGGACTCTTCAGTCGCCACTAGTGTGTATATGTCCAAGTACCAGATAAAATCTTAGAGTAAAGTTAGCTAATTAAACCTAAACGTATTAGATAAACGTTAATTAGGAAAATAAATCGATTTGAACCTTTTGAAGTATTGGGATCCGTCAAATGGGAGGAGCCTAAAAACATGGCGCCGATTAGGGAAAATTTGTCGTAGTTCCTATAGTGTACCGTGCAATTTCCAAGTTTTTAAATTACGATAAAATGATAAGTATTGACACAATATGTGATTGGGCTGACACAAAGCCTCGGAAAGGAAATTTCGTTGAAGGTGAGCGTGTTTTTAATGCCAATCACATTATAAAATTCGGAAATAACAAATCCGGAAGCTAGCCTTCAAATTCCGTCAAGTTTACTGCCAACTTTTTACAAACTTCGGATTTAAAAAGTGATTCACGTTATATAATTGGTGAGGTGATTCTGGGTGATTTAAGCAATATCATATCAATGACTTGCACGTGCAAAGCCGATTTAAGAGAACGTTGCAAACACATTATTGCATCTGTGTTGTATTGCAGCAGGTAGGTTTTTAACCTCAAAATACTTATATCGTATCATTAGAATTGTGTTAAATCAATTACACAGGAATAAATAATTTCTCACTTTATATTTTTAGTATGATTCTAGTTTTAAATATTAAGGTTATGGCTGATGGTAAACACTTGCTGAAATATAATCATGTGCATTAAAATGACGTGAACAAATTTTTATTCCGGAATTCACTTCTTTGATACCTACTGCTTTCATTCAAGCTTCGATTAGTTTACTTTTTTCTCTAATTTTCCGAATATACTTTTTACATATATATAAAACGGTTAGTTTTTATTGGAATGCAGTTAATGCAGGTGAAGAGTGAAGATCTATGTCTGAAGTGCTATTGCAGCTTTTCACTGAACATATTAACTTTTTATTTGATTTAACTTTAGAAGAAAACTTCGTCGACTCCATCATCAAAAAAATTTTTACTTTTTTAACAATTTTACAATTTGCGTGCACAGTTCCTATGTAAATTTTTCCCTCATTCGAGTTATAAATTTTGCCACCAGATGGTGTATGTCCATTTGACAGATCCCAATAGTCTAGTTTTTTGACATTAAAACAAAAACTGGCATGCCTCTTTCTAATTGGTCGGTGTGAAACAACGTCAAAATAATAACATACAAATAAGCGAAATAAACACACAAATGTAACGCATATACATATGCATGTACAGGGTGTATGAAGACAAAACAAGTGCAAATTGAAGTTAGAAATAATTACATCATATTCACCCTGTAACTATATACATACATATATGTCGTATCCAATTCTGTTAATCAATTTAACCAATTAAGAGGGCAGCAACAAAGACAACACCAAGAAGGCTAGAAAACATCAACACGAGAAGAAATGGAATGGGCACCTTGGTATTCGCAAAGCAACTTCATCTAAACTGTCTGAAGGGGTGAGTGGTGGTTTTTCGAACATGTGTCCAGGAGTCAGGGACAACGCTTTGTCGTAACACGAACAGGGATTCCTTCTTTGCTTCTGCTTCTTTTTGTCATTTCCTTCATGGCCGCTGCGAGACATTCTGGAGCACGTAAGTCACGAATCATGACGAAACGTCAGTCAAAATGGAAACGACTCACCCTCTTTCTACTGTTCACATACAGGGTGATACATATTCATACACACGGCAACAAATATAAATCACCCTGCATGTATTGCTCCATTAAATTATGCGAACTATTTTTTTAATCAATAATCCATTCTGACAATATTTAACAGTTACCCAACCAATTAACATTTACTTTCAAAATTGCTACATTAAATACATGTAACAGATTGCAAAATTGATAACACAACTGGTCGATTACACATAAAATAAAACGATAAGTTGTCAATCTGTTAGCAAATAAAATTAAAAAAGGCACATTACCTGTCGCTCCTGTGCTAATCACTATCATTACGCAGGTTTTAATCAATCAATTCCACAATAATCTACAAATCTAGTTATCTTTATGTTCCTGGCCTCCGATTGGTTTAAGAAAATCTCAAAACCATTGTAACAAATATTATAAATAAAATTGTTAACAATATTCCTTTTTTTTGTATTAATTTATTGTTATCCTGAATTTGGTCTGTTGTCTCAAGGATAGTCGAGTTTAAGGTTTATTGAAATTCTGTCGATATTAATCGATTATTGTTGATGGCAAACATCTTTACGTATATGTTTTATTCCAAAGGGGCTCTCCAAAAGCAAGTCTATGAAGGACTCACTAAAAACCCATGAGGTACTTTATTCTGTCTAGAGACATCACATGCAGAAATGTAATTTTGACATTATTTTATGTTATAAATAATAGAAAACAAATATATTTCTTTACATTAGTTTGATAAAAGACCAATCTATGATTTACTAAATACGTTTCGTTGTTGTTGCTTCTGTCACTTCTCGTAGCGGTCAAAGCAGTAGTACGTAAAGACAAAGGTCCCGGGTTCAATTCCCGGCGATAGTGTGCCAGCAGCAATACTTTTTTTTTCATTAATTTGAAGTATAGTGGATAAAAGTTAAATGAATTGTCACATTAATATTAAGTAATATATTCCTTTTTAAATAAAAAATGATCAAGAACACATGGTCCTGCGCGTCCTTTTCCATAGATTATTGCTCCATTGTAAACTTCTCAAAACAACGTGTCATCTCGATCGCTTTTCAAGCGAAAAATTACTACAACCTGTAGTATCCACCGTAAATGATTAATGACTTTATTATATTATCAAAGGTTCATGAATAAAGCAGTAACACGAACGAAGCACATAAGTATCTCTCCATTAATCCATACAGTCGTTTCGATTACAAATTTAAATTTAATAATGTAGGAAAATTGTGTCCGGTTGCTAACAACCTGTTGCTTACGGCGACGTCGCCGTCACGACGCGACACCAGGATCAATAAGGGAAGACATTTGAAGGAAACGCAGTAAACGCGTGTGTACCCTTCCATTTGGCTTTGGACTATTAAGGGATAGATGTCGCAGACGTTGCAAAATTTGTACAAATCTGTCTCAAATTTTTTAAAAAATTTACAAAAAATCTGTTCAGTCCTTAAAAGTATGAACAGGCGGTCTCAGTTTTAATTTTGACTAGGACCGCATATATACTGAACTTTCGATTAGAAATAAAATAAATAAATTTTGTACTTCTTTAACAATACACTAACGTTTCATTTAATATTTATGAGATTTATCAAGGACAAGTCGGCATCCTTAATTGTAATGGGACCTTGTTAAACATTAACAAAATTACAATTAACAGCAAACTTCCAAAGTTGGTTGAAGACAGCGCGTAAATTAAAACTGTCTACGGCGTGCTAATGAGACCCAAACAAATCTATGCTTGATAGTTTTGACAGATCACTGTTTTTTTAATCAACTAGGTACAAAGATTTTTGATTATGAATTTATCGAAGTGATAGTTTGGATAATGTGCACAGGAGCGGCAGGTGACACGTACAGGTGCACCCCAAACCTAAACTATTTCGTTCATAGATCAAAATTACTAATATTTACGACGAATACCTTGGTATTTGTAAAGCGACTTCGTCCAGACTGTCGGAGGGTGTGAGCGGCGTTTTTTCGAACAGTCGACTGGGCGCAAGGGTGAGCGCGTTCGAGTAACGCGATCGGGGGTTGCGTCTCTGACGTTGCTTCTTCTTCTTGTCTTCCTCGGCGCGGCGGAGGTTGTGAAGACGGAAGAAATACATGGACATCGTGCCGTCTCGATTCTTCCTCCGTCTCCACCACCAAGGACACCTGGTGCTCCTGTTCTATCGCTTGATCTCGATTACACTGCCGGAGGAGGATCATCGTCAACGTTACACCTTAACGTCCAACATAAATAACAGTTAACACGAAGGACGCCGGAAACATGCTTAACCACCTATCTCTACCACAACCAATCACGTCGTCTTCCATCAACAAGCAATCATTCAAAAAGTCCGAAAATTACAACAAATTATTTGTCCAAAAAGGAAAACCAAGGGAATATTACATTTGGTACGATATTTTATGTAGTTTATAGTTTCATTTATCATACCTAACATATTTGCTGCGAAGGCCAGTATTTCAAAGGTCTTCCAAAGGAATGGGAAGTCGTATTGTGCCTGACATTATTGCCTTGATCTTATAAACTGTTCATATTAAGTCTCATATACAAATAAACGGAACTTGTTACGTAAAATATGCTCTACTAGTTAAGCCCCTTTATATTTCGACGGTTGCCGGTGGTGTAAGCACTTTCTATTTCCGAATTTAATGGTTACAAGGTGATTAGAATATGTGCGTATGCAACCAACCCTACACACATTTAAACCCGCTCACTTTTATAAGTGTTTATTTTTAACTCGAATATGCTAAAATTGTTAATTTTCAATTAAAAATTCTGATTAAACGAAAAAATCTCAGATTTTAAAAATAGGCCTATCTTTTACTTTTATCTTTTATTTTAACTTTTGATATTCAGCTAGTCCCAGGATGGACTGAACATTTATGGATATAACATTATTAAAATTACTGGCGAAATGTGGTCAAATTTTATAAAAGGTCATAAACTTAATGGATAAGCCAACAGCACAAAGTTTAACCCTTCTGGTTTACCCTTAACGGGCAAAATTCACTTTAACGTATGATACCGTAGAAACTTTATGGATAATAACTTATTAACAACTATTTACTAATTCTCGTTTCAACTACAACTTAAGTAAAATATTAAATAAAGTTGCCAACAATCTCTATTATAACTACGTTGTTATTATAAACAATTAAACAATGAATTACAAGTTTCTAGTATATTTTAATTAAAATTTTCGAGTACATACATACGTATAACGTAGGTACCTGTATGTTCGACGCATAATAGAACTTCCGGAAGGTCCTACAATTAATTTTAACAAAAGTTAGTGACGGCTGAACTGTCAGGGGTAGGAACCGGATATAAAGTTGAGGACTTATAGGAATTAAATATTTAAACGCCGCACCAGGGAGGTGTGAACTCCCCAACCAGTACGTTAAACGAAGCAAAAAATTACATCAGGTCTAACATTTTTTGTAAACATGTTGAGCTTTTAGTAAATATGGAAATTGGAAATAGGACTAAACTGGAAAGTAAACAAAAAATTACTCTTATTCGCGAAATTCGGCGATCAAATATATGCTTGGGATTATTTAATATTTTATTCAATTCAATCTACTTATATCTGGCAAACAAATTTAATTACTACTACATCAATATTTGGAAACATTCCAATCTTAAGGACCCATGAAAAAAGGTCCCTCCTGTAGACTTCTCATGATCAATATTAAATAAGGATAATGGTTAACTTCTAGAGAATATTGTAAATTGTTCATGTTTATCTTACACGTTCGATAAATCGGCAATAATTACATTCTCCATCCACGTAGCTACAGTTTTTATCATACTATGTTGCCGATTCACATACAGGACCGGCTTCGGCTTGCAAATTATTGCTATTGCAATTTTCTTTAAAAAAAAATTACCCTTAACCACACTGCTAAACTCACCGTGCGATTATTTATTGCATCTAGTTTACTACCCCTAGAGCTAGGCACTTATTTCTATTACGTCCTGTATGAAGGGTCAAAGTTAGTCTAAATTGAGTTAGTGCACACCTGAGTTTAAACGCTGGTAACTTCTAAACTAGCAAACTTATAGGAATCGTTCTGGCATTATTTCGTGGCTAAAATATTGCGCAGTTGTCGAGAGTACTATAAAATTCCAAACGCCAAGGCCCGGCACGTAACGAAAATAAGGAAACACGAAAAATAAAATGAGTTGCCAGGCGCCTCCACCAAAAGTCTCAATTGCACTTTCAACTGGATAAAATGATTTTGAAATTATAAAAACCACACATTCGATCATTTAATGCATAGGTGAGACTTACTGCACTTCAACAAATAGAAGACTTACATAACAAATTTGTTTTTCGATATTTTACAAATGTATTCCACTACAAATTATTAACTATCAGATAAGAGTGTAAGGTAAACTTTCATTTTTCAAAAAATTGACATAATTATAAGTTAATATTTACTTTAATAAACAAGCTAATATGTGGTGCCGTAAGACGCCCGGTAGCAATGAAATAACTTCGTTCCTGTAATACATACACCTGCCCAGAATGTACATTCGGTTCGTGTGGTATTTCTCAAGCACGGCACCCCCGTAATTGCTCGCGCCAGTGACTTTGTTTTGGGAGAAAAGCGGTCACTTGGTATTTGTGTCTTAATTAAATTCATTTTAATTTGGCCGAAGATAGGTTGGTATGCTTGAAGGCATGTTTGTGAACACACACGTGAATGCCTGCCCTTTCGTAATACGTTTCGCTGTTTGCTTAAACACTTAGTAAATATTTATGAACGTACCTACAAGGAAAGGGGTGTGTGAACACAGAATTTTCAAGTAGACAAAGCACAACCAACAACGACAACTAACTAACTGGCAAATTAATACGGAAAAGTTATTATTTTAGATTGGTTCGTCGAGTTACTTTCACTAAAACAGTTTTTAAATAATAGAGGAGTTAGAACTGTTGGAAATAAATCATAACTATAATCGAAACAAAAAGAGAATTACCTAAAATAGATTGTTTACGGATCCTATCTCTTGTCTGGAAAAGTCGAACGAAAGTTAGTACAATTTTATTATAACGTAGACAATACAGGAAAAAAGAAAGGTGAAATGGGAAGAGGACTAATAGCAGAGAAGTAGAAGTTAGAGAGGAGGAATTACTTTCTAGAAAAGAAATGGAGACCTAGAAAATACGACAAATGGCGCAGTAAACGCCATCTGTAATACGATGCTACATTTTAGGATTACGTATGCTCCAACAAGGTCCATTTAAATATATGGATATCTACTTGCTGAAACGAATCCCAGCGTAGCCAACCTCAACGTGATAGGCACGTTACCATAATCGAATAAAATAATTCGAAGTGGTCTGTATTCTGTATACGTTGAGATTAGCTACGCCGGGATTCGTTTTTGCAAGTAGATATCTATATATTTAAATGGACCTTGTTTGAGCATATGTAATCCTAAAATGTAGCATCGTACTACAGATGGCGTTTACCGTGCTATTTATGGTATTTTCTAAAACGCGCTGTTAAGACAGCAGGTAAAAGTTGGTCTGTGACGCGCTGATGATATCCAAAAAGATAGAAATCGCGATCCGCGCCTGACAGTTTCGACAGAATACAGACCACTTCGAATTATTTTATTCGAAGTGGAGACCTGATTATTATAATCAACTTATGGAGAATAACAGCGACATATGGACAGAAGCTGAGAAAATTGAAAAAGAACCAAAGAGGCAAAAACTAGAGAAAAAACTAAATCATCGAAATACGTAAAGAAACACAAAGAAATACCTCCAATCGATAATCCAAAATACATGAAAGAGTTAATAAAACTATTATCTATCTATCATAACGTAGACCAAGTTAGAAAAATGCCACCACATGAATCGCTACCTTAGGTATATACAGTACATATGAAATTTGAAATTTATAGCATGCGTTATTCATTTGTCAATTGAATCTAGCGAATAATGTTAAATTGTTAACTAATTTTATAAAGCCATCGGTTATTTTGAACATTAAAGCTGTCTTGCCGATCAAAAATTTTGAACTTTTTACTTCCTTCAGAGTCGAAAACAAAATAAACCCATTTCGAATTTCTAGAGCCAGTAAAATTTTTATTTTGAATAACAGACGTTTTGGCATTCGCAATTTACAAGCCGAAGGTTCTTTTAACCTACGAATAAAAGTAAAAATAACCGGCCTGCCACAATGAATAAGTAATATGAGAAGGGCCAAACTGAAGATTCTACAAACGTCAACTTTTATCAACCGTCAAATAACATTCCGGTAAAAGTATCTTAGGAAGTCACGCTCGATTATGATCTCAAATCGTCGTCGAGCCATAAAAATCAACTCCCGAAAAAAAAGAAACCGTTAAAGTTCTTCATTCCGATCGTTTTATAATGCATTGCTTGATTTCTACTGAGAAAGAGGTGGAAATATTCAAATGAGACTTCGTAAAATAGAAGAAGCTATATTATGGGAAAAATTTCATTTCCCGTTTATGGCAAACGTAGTCCTTTATACATATATCCGGGTCTACATACATAGAAAAAAATTATTCCTTTTTATTTTATCATCTGTATAAAATCTTTAAAACCCACGTCTAGAATTTGAATCAAAAAGGCAAAAGAAACTTATTAGGAATATGGAAAACAATAAAACGACTGAAAAAAACTAAAAACAATAAAATTATAAAGTAAAATATTTCTTTTTGAGAACCGACAAACTAACGGTACGTTATCTTTCAAAAAAAATGTCTTCAAAAGACTTGGTCTCGTTGAAGAAAGTCGTAAAGAAAACTAAAAAAGTTTCTACCCTTTCTCGTTAAAATCCTTTTGAAATACTGTCTTCAAGTATATAACCGATCCTTTACTATTCTGCAGGTAAATCCATTAAAAGATTTCTTTTGTAGTATAATTTGTCAACCAGTTCAACTCGGGATGCAATTATGCCACCGGTGATTATATTTATCTTTTTTTTTGTAGTTGTCTGAACGCTAAAAGTTCATTAGTAACCGAGTTTATGTCTGTGACATTTTCAAGCCGTAAAGCATAAGTATTCCTTCCGAGTTGATAAGAATTGAAATTGAAAACAAATGGATTGAAAAAGGACCTTTCCAGTAATCGTCTTCGTCTTATCGTAAATCCCTCTGAAAGAAGACAACGATGAATGGGAAGATTTTATATAAAACGGGCATTAATATTTCCCCTTGTACTAAAAC